AGGAGGAGGGGGAGGAGGAGGAGGAGGAGGAGAAGAAGAAGACGAAGAAGATTAATCTACCAAATCCAGAATTACGGCCCACTCAGCCCTGCCACTGTCTGACTGTAGACCATAGAATGACGCGCCTTGAACAAAGTGATACAGGGGAAAGACGGAAGAAATTGGTGGGGAGAAAACAGACTACGCACAGCGTCTTGACCTTCTGGGAAGCAAACAAACCAACAGAGGAGGAGATCGCGCAGTTTGTTTAGGAGGGGAGCAGCCACGGTGCCAAGAAACTATTAACTCTTTTCAGGCTGGCAGGTTAGCGGCTTATTGGGAGACCCTTTCGTTCAGAAGAGAGTGCAATTGTGTGATCGGTTTCTACAACTACCGATAAGTAGAGAGATGAGCCGTTTCCCAGAGGTTAAGAATGTGTGTGGGGTTTTTTAGGAGAGGGTGCAGAGAAGGAGGAAGAGAAAAGGAGGGGACGAGAGATCCCATGCGAGCTGAAAGGCAGCGGCAGCAGGGGTGAAAATTAGCGAGAGAGAGAGAGAGAGAGAGAGAGAGACAGACAGACAGACAGACAGACAGACAGACAGACAGACAGACAGACAGACAGACAGATAGACACAGACAGAAAAAGACAGAGAGAGGTGGAGAATGTTTCAGCGTGTAACTGTTTGCCTGCTTTTTTAAAGAGAAAAAAAATACAACCTTTAAAACGGTAGCGATGTGTCCTAAAACAGTGCCCCTTTTCCTTTCAAGCGTTTGTCGAATGACCAGAAAATGTGTCTACGATGAGATTCGGTGTATCTCAGAGCGACCCAGCACCACTAAGACCACGATTCGTCCGACAACAAATGTCTTGAAAAGAAGAGTAAAAATCTCCGGGTAGCACCTACGCTAACTCTCCAACCACCGACACAACGGGCCGCGCGGGGGGATACCACAAATTACAATCCCGAAACCTTTGTTTAGCTTTGTTTTAGTGAGAGTCCTGCGGCAAATGTAGCACAAAATCACGTCATCCCGAATAGTACTAATTAGAGCTGTTTCTAAAGAGAAACACAAAGAAAAAAGGAGGAGAGATTATATGGAAGAATCAGATAGATATTTGTGTGGGGTTTTTTAGGGGAAAAACTACACTACAGTGAAAGGAATTGCCACTAGTTTACAACCCATTAGATAATAATTAAACATATAAAAAAAAACGAGGGGGGGGGGGAGACACAAAAACGAAACTAGCAAAGAGAATGAGAGGAAATGTCGCTCGTCAATATCCAACACACAAAAAGACAACGGCGGAATGACGGACAGATGCAAAACGAGGGCGAAAAAAAACCCTTCGTCTTGCAGTAATTTATTTTACTGGCCAGGTCACGACCTCTATACCTCTCACCCCGCCGCCCAAGTTCAACGCCTGGATAAGCCTACATGTACAGACAGCGCTAGAAACAAGCTTACTCGTGATCA